TGTATGCCTCATTTGATCTCATTAATCAGTTTCATGGCTACATTCTTCTTTGATGTGATGTACACTCGATATGGAGCTAGAAATGTGCCACAGGCTCTTCGCAATATCATGGCAGTGGAGTTTCTAGTCATCCCTCCTCTTCTAAATCCCCTCATATATGGCTTAAATCTCACTCAGATTCGCAGAACACTTTTGAAATTGTGTAACAAAAGATAAATTCCTTTTATTGATTATCAAATACAATATATGCATTTCTTTTGGTAACATTTTAATGCATACATAAAACACCCATTTTATGTAAAATTTGTATTATAATGAATAAATTAAGCCATTCCAAAGACACTGAGGTTCAGCTGGAGAGTTTTGTGTTCTAAAGCTAATAAAATGTTTTGGGAAGTTGATAACTCTGGATTTTGGCCTGGAGGAATTTCAGAGTGAGTATCCTTGGTTTAGTATTTTGTGTAGTAGAGTCTACTACAGATAAGCTTTAATTTATATCATTTTTGATGTCAGAAAATACTATACTTCTGTTTCTTCTACCAAAATGTAAATCAAATCCATACTCTGTTTTTTTTTTTTATTCTGTGCAGTGTCCTGACACATGTAACTGTACTGTATATAGTTCAGTCATGGCTTTTAGTGTTTATCAATAACAAAAATAAACCATGGAATACTGGAATTGTGACTAGAATTGTTTTATTCCAGCTCATTTCTTAGGTAATTCTTGGTTCGTGTTCCACAGTAGGCAAGATTGTCCTTCATGACAAGATTCCAGACCACCTCAGTCTTCAACATATACTGTATAAACCAGTATAATAAAAAAGTGTAGTATGAAACAGAGAATGCAATGGCTTAGCTCTGAAGGCTACAATACACGTCAGTAAGCACTGTTATCGGTTTAGCAGTTGTATCATCTTAATTACATGTCACAGCAGCAAATGAAAGATTCCACTTTTCTTTATGCATAAATACCTAAATAGACTTAACAACTTAATATTATGCATAGAAGTACTAAACTCTAGATATCATGGAAAAGCTGTTCAATAACTGTAAACATACACCTCATTCTTCCACACAAAAAGCCAGTGTCTTCAAGTCCAATGTCTTGGACTTAAACTGTTACATTATAAGCATAAAACTCTAATTCTTCATTTTTATCTGACTGCTTTTCCTGCTTTCTACGTTCAGCACACATATTGCACAGAAAATCATTGAGTTCCATGATGTAACAATGAGCTTTGCCTGTTACCTCTCTCCTAAGCACATTAATTTTCTCACTAGCCCTAAATGACAAAATACAACTGTAAACACAGCTCATATCAGTATTTGCTCGAGGGCACATTCAGGGGATGGCTCATACAGGGCAGATGTATAAACCAACAAGATGTACTTCCTGGACTACAGGGACAATGGAGCCCAGAGAACGTTCCAGCTTTGCACACTATACCTGTAGCAGATACACATCAGTTTAAAAGTTACCACGGGTAAATATTGTATTATTAGGAAGAAAAAGCACAGTCTAGTGAAAGCAGGATTAAAATTATGCAGTCTTTTTTTCCTCATTTAATCTCATTAATCAGCTTCACTGTTTCTATGTTCTTTGATGCTATGCACACTTGACATGGCTCTAGAAACACACCACAGACTCATACAATATGATAGTATGTCAGTGGCATTTCCGAAATAAAGCACATATTATCACAAAGTTCTTGTTGGAAATAAAAGGGAATTTAGAAATATTGAATACATAATATGAAAGCAAGACAATGTTCTCAAATATTAAAATAGTAAATAGTAATTAGGGGAGGATCATGGGGCAGTAGGTTAAATTGCAATGAAAAAGAGACACAATTAACAGTTCTGTTTTCAGCAGATTAAGGAAATAGGTAAGATTAATATAGTATTATCTACACCATGTGTATTTGTTGCCTGAGAGACAAGAAAACAGGAGGTGAGATGTACATTAGGACATTATAATGGAGACAGGGATAGGGATGGCTGTGGAGAAGGAAAATTCCTTAAGGAGATGTGAAAGAAGGTTTGGATGGAAGGCTTTGGGAAAAAATTGGATGTGTCAAGGCGTTTGGGGAAGGGGAGTTGTGACACAAGAGACTGCAGCAAGTAGGACGGGAAATAGAAGCCTCAAGGAATGAGAGGGCAGGATTGACCATGAAGGGAGAAAGGGGGATGTTTTGGCTGAATTGAATGGCAGAAAGGGCTCAGGAATGGGGACGCATCCTGAGCTGTGCTGGATGTCAGGGGACAGGAAGGAGAGTGATGTTTATAGGCATTGTAGAACACTTGCTGACTGAGGTGAAGATAGGATGCTGGAAGGCTGAAAGGTTAGAAACTGAGGCCAAAAGAACAAAACATTTTAGATCTGAGCTGGCTCCCAGGGACAGAAGTAGCAGTAGTCGAGTGGACAGAGGAGAGAGTAGGTATTAGTAAACAACACAGAGGATGAACAAGATAGCCCTGGGGTCTGAAGCTCAGTTAGTTTGGCTTGAGGATGAGTAGAAATTTGCAGGATGTGGAGGTGTGGCCAGTCACCGAATCATGTTGGACGTCATGGGGCAGTCAATGTAGAGAGGGTTGTAGGATGCCTGCTGGCTGAACTTAAGACTTCTGACAGACCAAGGACTGACAAGACAGCGTTAGGAGCTACAGCAAATTAAAAGCCTCACATTCAATCAGTGAAACACAACCATCCATAGTTACTATTACAGAAACGTCTGACACACTACAGGTTCAACCAATGATGCACAACAGTACTGCAATCAATAGCAGGGAGCTGCACAATAATGAGTCGTGAATGTCTTACACAGGCACTTTAGAACTTTTTAAGGAACCAGGTGAAGCCTTAATAAGTCAAATTATAATACAAAATTATGTTGGATTGTTCTATTTCAAACTTAATACTGTAGTCCTCACACTGGTCACCAGAAAAATGTGATCATACAGTATGTGGGTTTTAGTTTACTGTAACAATTAAAAATTGGAATGTGAAATTGCATTAATTTGCTGGTTGTGAACAACCCAGATGGCAAGTGACAGTGCACTTTCTTTGTCCAGCCTCCAACATACCAATGACACAAAGACAGTCTTTTTTTTTAATAAGTGGAGTACTTTTTTTTCTTGACTTTCTCCAGGCTTGACATGACCCTTATCCATTCAGCCCTCTAACTGATTAGTGAGTTCCTTAAAGTATTCATGTAATAAAATGCCAAAAGTTTTAACAAATATCCAATTTATGTTCTAAAAAAAAGTGCATTCATAAACAGCTCCTGCTGAAGCCCAATATATATGCAGTTTATACTGACTGGTATTAAAATGCAACAAAAACCTTTGGTTTTAACACTTCTCAGCATGTTTTTGTTTCAGAGTAGGATAGTCTAAATATAATTGAGGAAATAGCTCATGAAAGGGGTGAATGAAATCCTCACATCAGTGAGATCCAGTATTAATATTCAAATAGGCAGGATGAGTGGAAATACCTTTTCTTCGTGGGCACCATTCCTGCATTCTTAAAAGTTCCAATAAGTTCACAACACATGTTTTCACCAAGCACATTTGCCAATTTAAGACATGCAACACAAGTTCCTTTAGAAAGGAAGTATTTTTATTTAGTCTAATTCTTCTTTAACTGCCTTTTTAATTATGAGTTTTAAACTCAGGCTCACGGCACAGATACTGTACTACAGTGACATAAGTCTCCCAGGACTGTTCTCAAGCTGCATATTCTCTAAAGCCTCCCTCCTCCTGGAGACATATAAAGCTAAGTAAAGTAGTTCAGACTGAGAAACTGAACTTCAGATTGAGAAAAGCTTCATGCTCTTCCTGCAGCAACACCAAGCTCACCTTGAGAGGTAATGTGTCCATAAATATTTAATCTGCTTATTAAAATAAGAATACACAACCTACTGTACTGTATGTCCTTTAAATTATGACTTATTTAAGAGTACAGCTACATTTGACAGATTCTTTATCGTCAGTTGCTTTTCTGTGTTTTCCTGGTGGAATATTAATCACTCTCTGACTTTCTTTAGCAGCTAATATATTGTCATTTCTGTTTTTTAGACAGACTTTGCTTACCAGGCAGCAAGACAAGCCTATAAGGGGTCATTGCAGTGTCAGCTGCTGGGAAGATGGGGGAACACATCTAGGTTACTCAACAGGGGAAAAACTTTATTTGTTCTCTGCATGAGTCAGACCCTTCTCTGATGTGGTGGCATGTTAACTTCTGGTGTTGGGCCAGGAAGTTGTAATCCTGGTACAGCTAACCTTTTGTGCTAAAATATCTCAAATGATGGAAAATATTTAATCTCAGATGCATTATTGACAAGCACATTCTAAACTGTGAACTACAATGGAGAACCTGTCTGATGTCACAGTATTTACGCTTTCTGGATTAAATGAGACAAGACCACATAAATACATAGTTTTTGCTTTTACTTTTCTCTTTTATCTACTGATCTCTTTCCTAAATCTAACACTTATGGCTACAATCGTTCAGGAGAAATCCCTCCATGAGCCCATGTACATATTCATCTGTAACTTGAGTGTTAATGCACTGTATGGAACTGCTGGTTTCTATCCTAAACTCCTGGCTGACTTTCTCTCTGATACCCATGTCATCTCATACAGTGGATGCTTTATCCAAATCTTTGTGATCTACTCTTATATTTTCTGTGAAAGTACCACTTTAACAGTGATGGCCTATGACAGGTATGTGGCAATATGCAAACCCCTAGAGTACCATTCTATCATGACTTATTTGACCGTTTCGAAATTTTTGTTAATTTCTTGGGTTTTTTCTTTCTGTGATGCAATAATTCCAATTTCGTTAGCTGTTAGACTGCCTTTATGTGGGTCTCACATTGACAAACTCTACTGTGAAAACTGGTCAGTTGTAAAGCTGTCTTGTGTGGACACGACTATAAACAATTTGTGTGGATATATTTTAATACTTAAGTATATTCTACAGTTCCTTTTTATTGTATATTCTTATATCTTGATTATCATAGCTTGTTTAAAGTCTAGTGAAGGAAGGAGTAAATTTATGCAGACCTGTATGCCTCATTTGATCTCATTAATCAGTTTCATGACTACATTCCTCTTTGATGCCCTGTACACTCGATATGGCTCTAGAAATTCACTACAGACTATTCGCAATATCATGGCAGTGAAATTTCTAGTCATCCCTCCCCTTTTAAATCCTCTCATATACGGTTTAAATCTCACTCAGATTCGCAGAAAGTTTTTGAGATTGTGTAATGGAAGTATAAAGCCCTTTCAATGATTATTAAACTTAAAATACTATCTAAGCACAGTTTTGTGTCCACTCTCTATTTATATACATTCACAAACTAGTACAATTTGCACAGAATTTGTCGATTTCAGAGTACTAAACTGAAATCAATCTAGGGACTCTGAGGCTGACATAGTATGTTTTGTCTTGTGATGCTGATAAAACGTTTTTTCCAATGCTCGGCAGAGTGACAATATTATATACTGTGTGAACAATTTAAGGTTACAGCAGGACTGATATAGAATTCTAGATGTGTAACACTTCTCTGATTTGGCTCCTGAGAGTTTACAGTATAAAAAGCATACTGTATTTCCCAATTAATTTAACTTAAGCCTTGAAGGACCTAAAGAAGATCTGTGATATAGGCTTAAAAAGGAAGGGCAGTATTTCGAAATATGCATTTAACATTTTCATGCTTTCCGATCACATTATCTCCCTTTTGGGACTGTATATATACATACATACTGTATACATGAAAAAAGGAGAGACCGTGATCTGAAAATGGAAACTGATAAAGTCCATTTATTCATTTCAGGTTTTTTTTTAATCAAAGCTTACATCAGGGTAGCTCCTTCTCTCAGTTGTACCATACTGGAGTGCTGTGATTCATTGATCTTGCTTACTGCCCTCCATAGTGGAGTAGACTGGAATGGCAATCAGGCTGTGGTGGTGTACATCTTATGAATCTTATCTATAATATTTTCATCCAGCCATTTTTAAACTGATTGTTTTCATCCACATCCTGAAAACAGCAAAAGTCTTTAAGGTTGACAAGTATGTGAACAAAGCAGAAGGGAAGCGCTGTGTCAGGTACAAAGAACATACAGCACTGACAGCCCTAAACCAAGTCAACCACAGTGCCAAGCTGTACTGTAGATACAGAATCACCTGGTAGGGTGCCCTTAAAGTGGGTTCCTTCTCAGCATTTTTTCCCACAACCTAATAATACTACGCACTTTCAAGGACAGAAGACATGGCAAGAGACATCTTTTTCTGTCTGTAGTAAATATAGTAAAATACAGTAGCACACAGACAAACCTTTCTGATCTTTAGAGTGTATATTTTAGCCTTGTTTCCATTAAAAGCTTCATTTGGCATCCTGACACATTTGCAATTACTTGTCTGAATCACATGCAATTACCCTGTGCTGAAAGGATCCTATTTTAAATTAGTTTCCCTTAAGGATTTTAGCTCAGGTTCATTTAATGAACACCACAGAGGCAATGGACTGACAGGCTTCTCTTCAGGCTAAAATTAACTAAAGACTCCCTCCTGAAGAAAACATACAGTATAAAGGTAAGTAAAGTAGCTCAGATTGGAAAACAAAGCTTCATGCTCATCCTGCAGCAACACCCTGCTCTCCCTGAGAGGTAACATTATTAGATAGTTATCTGTAGATTCACGTATATTAGAGAACAAAAACCAAGAAAAATGGCTTGAGCCATGTGGCTCATTTCAACTTTAAACAATGTAATTATAGCTCCTATTGTATGTATATTCATTATTTTTAACTACATATATTCATTATTAATTTTAATTTAATTTTCTTATGCACAATTGCCAGTGATATACTGTACAGTAATTGTAGTCTGTCATTCATGGTAGAAATATATCTAGCTGTTACGATAGAGGGAGGCAATTGTCTGTGAAACTTTTTCTGTCCTAGGTTTCGCAAAGAGGATGTGTGGTTACAGGGCCCCCTATAGGAAAGAAGCAGTGGTGCTCATAAGCAGCACAGTAAAAGAAAATCAATAAATACGTTTGTAATGTGTTCGTAAGGAGGAATCTAAGCCCATATCCAAGAGGTGCTGGCTTCATCTTCTTTTCTGTTGAATTAGTAGATGGGACGATTTTAATTATTTATAGACATTGTTACAATTTGCATCTTACAACACCCATGATTGATGGAGAACTCGTCTAATGCTGTAGTATTTTATCTCAATGGATTAAATGACACCAGATCACATAAATATGTCTTTTTTTTCTTCACTCTACTTTTTTATCTGCTGATTATTTTATTCAATCAGACAGTGATTATTACAATACTTCTGGAAAAATCCCTCCATGAGCCCATGTATATCTTTATCTGTAACTTGAATTTCAACACATTGTATGGAACTGCTGGTTTCTATCCTAAACTCTTGGCTGACTTTCTCTCTGACACCCATGTCATCTCATACACTGGATGTTTGATTCAAGCCTTTGTCATCTACTCTTCTCTTATGTGTGAATTCACCAGTTTAACAGTGATGGCCTACGACAGGTATGTGGCGATATGCAAACCCTTAGATTATCATTCTATCATGAGTGCTCTGACTGCTGGAAAAATTGTTTTGATTTTGTGGATTCTTATGTTCTTTGAAGCAATAATTCCAATTTTATTAACAGTCAGACTGCCTCTCTGTGGGTCTCACATTGACAAACTCTATTGTGACAATTGGTCAATTGTAAAGCTGTCCTGTATAGACACAGCTCTTAACAATATATATGGATATGTTTTAATAATCGCTCATATTTTACAAGCTTTGTTTATTTTATATTCTTACTTTGAGATTATCAGAGAGTGTTTAAAGTCCAGTGAAGGAAGGATTAAATTTATACAGACCTGTTTGCCCCATTTAATAGCATTAATGAGCTTCACTATCACCACAATATTTGATGTAATGTATTCTCGATATGGCTCCAGGAACACACCACAGACTATTCGCAATATCATGGCAGTAGTGTTTCTAGTCATTCCTCCCCTTTTAAACCCCCTTGTATATGGATTGAATCTCACTCAGATTCGTATAAAAATTTTGATGATGTGTAACAGAAAAATAAACTCAGTTAGTTATTGTTGACATCAAGTATAGAAGTATAACTTATGAATTCAGCTTTTGTACTGCTATTGTACTTAGCCTTTTGATGGAATAATTTATATGCATTCAGAAAAATACTTTCCCTGTATGTAATGACACTATATATACATTTTACACAATAAAATCTGGAATCACAAGAAATGTAGTTATATTTTGTATACTGTATGTGCAAATTCTGCTTAAATGTTCAGGTTTCAGATATTTACTGTAAACCGGGGGAAAAAAGGAAAAGATCACTATGAAATAAATAAAGCAAATTTTAAAAATGTTGTCAAAAATGTATTTTCTGGCTTCTGATAAATTCTGGAGTAGAAGTCTTTGAATCCCTGTGAAAAGAAAGATGCAGATAGAAAGATTGGTGTAATTGTTGCTGGGACAGGTACAATGGGGAAGTGTTGTCTTGTACAGGCTCACTGTTCTGACTTGTTCTATGTAACAGTTGACCATATTCTGCCTGTTCAAACAATGAAAATCACTGATGACTTTTGTGAGAGAAGGAATGAATGAATTTGCTGGACATAATGATGCCCTCTTGGTAATCATGAATTGTGTGTGCATGGTGCTGGATCTGTATTTGTAGGAATACTTATCTTGGATACAGATACGTACTGTAACATTATGGAGTACATTCAGGGGAAACGGTAGGTTCTGTTTCAACAAACAGTGCCAGGAGTGGATGGCTAAGGTAACGGTGGACAAGAAAGATCAGTCCAGTAGATCAGGTGGTCAGCAGTATCAGAAGATCGGAAGATCTGTAAAATCAAAACAATGTAACAATGTGGCAGTGGAGCCGCAAAGAGCACTGGTAAAAGCACTGTCTGAGGGGGCAGAGGCGCCGTTGTGAGCTTAGCGAGAACCGGAAAAAATAAACACAACAAAAAGGGAAAAAACAAAAACATAAATACACGTGCCACTTTCTGTCCCACCATGTATCTCCACTGGGACAGGTTGAGTTTATTTTGCAGTCGGCCTCATGCTCCTTTTCTTCCAGACTGGACCCCGTTTGATAGGGAAAGTCCAGTCTGGAAGAAAAGGAGCATGAGGCCGACTGCAAAATAAACTCAACCTGTCCCAGTGGAGACACATGGCGGGACAGAAAAAAAGAAGAGAAAGAAAATAGAAACAGGAACCCGTTCTCCACAGTCCCCTCTGGAAGGTCCTCCCCTTGCGGGGGTCTGCTCATCCCTCCGGGGAGGTCTTCAGTGTGTCTTAAAGGCCCCCACAGCTGCGGCTCATGGTTCATCAGCCGGGACAGCTGTGGTTACTAAGGCAATGTGTCGCCCTTAATCCAGGGCTCCGCCTCCAAACTGCACACGCCCCCAGGTAATGTCACAGCAATGCTGATTGAACATTAAGGTTCTCTTGCTTACATATTAGGCATTGAATGGTTGTTGTATTAATGTAGTCCTGCAAATGATCTGAGATCAGGTAACTCTTCTCATTGTGCATGAGGCTCGTCTCTACACTTTAGGCAACAGAGCCTTCTATTATGCAGCTTCACAGTTGTGCAACTTTTGACTATTGTTTTATGTCTGTTTCATGGTGTTTTCAAACATCACTTAGAAATAAAGTGATAATTATCATTATCATCATTACTAATTTTTTGGTTGTTATCCATCCATTTTCTAATTTCTGCTTTATCTAATTAGGATCGTGGGAGGAGACAGAGCCTATCCTGGCAAGCAATGGGTGTAAGGTGGAGTACACCCTGCACAAGACAACAGTCCATTGCAGGGCACACACAGACACAGACATGCACACAATCAGGGGTATTTTCCCTGACGTTAATTAATACCAATACTGTATATCAATATATCTTTGGACTGTGGAAGGAAATGTGGGCACCTGGAGGAAATCCACGTGATTTTCTGGATTCGTTCTATCTGTGAGCTAATAATTGCAGTTTTGTTAAGAAACAGGCGACCTTTATGCGGGTCATACAGTATATTGCCCAACTGTACTGTGAAAACTGGTCGATAGTAGAGTTGTCTTGTGTGGACAACACTCTAAACAATATCCATGGTTCTATGTTAGTAACTGTTTTCACAAGCTTTTTTTTTCATGTATGTTCTTACATTCAGATTATCAGAGTCTGTTTAAAGTCTAGTGAAGGCGGTGAAAAGTTGAGGTAAGACATACTTACCTCATTTGATCACATTAATCATCTTCACTGTCTCTATCCTCTTTGATGTGATGTCTTCTAGATATGGCTCTAGAAACGACAAACTCTTTGCAATATCATGGCAGTGGAGTTTCTGGTTTTGGCTGCTCTTTCAAATCCCCTTCTATATGGTTTTAATCTGTCTCAGCTTTGCATAAAGTTTAGGAGACTTTGTCATGTTTACTCTCGAGTATAGTTGACATCAAAGTGAATATTAAAATATTCAAATTTACAAAATTTACCAAATAATATTTATATTATATATATATGTTATAATATATCATATAAAATACAATTATATTACAGTCTATTACAATTATTGAAAAAAATCTCATTTCCATCCTTAGAAATTCGGTGACATACTGTATATGCAATCCAACACCATATGCTACAGTACATATTTTACTAAATCTAACCTGGATCCACAAAAAATGCAGATATACAGTATTTGTTCTATATGTCAAACATCTTATATAGCTGTCAGTCATCCTATTTTAAAAATGATACTTGTAGATTGTGAAATTAAATGCCAAATAAAAAATCATGTGTTCAAAAATGTATTATTTGGTTGCTCATGTCATTCAGGAGAAAGTGTCTGGGAATCCCTGTGAAAGCATACAGACAGAAATAAGAGTGTAGTCATGGGGACCTATCATTTTAGAGACCCTCACTACTCTGAACTGGTCAGTTAGTTTTCTTCCTGTTCAAGTGTGTGTGCATTAAGAGCTGAAAGACTTTCATAAATTGGTCCAAGTATGGCAATAAATAGCTGATTAAGTGTGGAGTTCAGTAAAACTTTCCAGGCACGTGCAGCCCTCTTGCAATGGAACTGGACCCAGCAGGGAACACTTAATAAGAAATCAAAACTCACGAGGGCTGAAAGTGTGAGATGGAGTTGGAACGCACTGGAGAGATGAAGAGGAGAAAGATATTAGTCAGAGAAGGTGGAGGCAAAGGCAGATGTGAAAGAAGAATCAATTCATGACGTACAACAAAGGAAACTAGAGGAATTGTTTAATTTCTCTGTATGATGTTTTCAAATAGGGGCGCACAATGCCAGTCCTGGAGGGCCAGAAGACCTCTCTCTCCCCCTGAGTCCTTAGTTGCCCAATTGAACTGCTTTACTTTTTTTGCTTTGCTTGATCTTCAGATGCAGGAGCTTAAAAGAGACATAAAACCTTGGGGTAATGTATAGTATGAAAAAAGTAAAAATGTATGCCCTGCTTTCAAGTTAAACTGAATCCTCCCATTTGTAACCTTTTTGATGTTCTTAAATAAAGAAACCCCATACAATGCTTATAATTAACATTAAATTATACTGAGCATAAGCCTGCATTTTCAATTCTTGTTTTCAGAGCACAGTTATACTTGGCAACCTTATATGTATTTGCTATCTTCTACTTGAATCACTATGAAACAAGGTTCCTATTTTAAAAATATAATTTTCCTCATGGAGTCTTGCTCAGGGTAATTAATTGGATCCCACAGAGCCACGGGTCTCCCAGAACAGTTTTCAGACAACAATTCTCTAAATTCCCCCTCGTGTAGGAGACATATAAAGCTGTTAGGTAGCTCAGATTGGAAAACAAAGCTTCATGCTCTTTCTGCAGCAACACCCTGCTCTCCCTGAGAGGTAATGTCTGTACATAATGTCATCTATAGCTTTACATATAGTACAGAACAAAAAAGAGTGTTTCATTTAATTGTTTAACCATGTAACTGTATTTACATTTAATACTTTTAATTGTATTTTTATTTACACAGAATGTTTACATTTTACTATTCTGCATGTATGCTTCTCAAATTGCATGGTATTCTCATCCCATAAGTTTAATTTATTTTAAAATACAGTACTTATTGTTTTTAGAAATCTTTCCATCCATTTGAAGAAGGCACTCCTGTGTAATTTACAAATCTGGCTGAAAGGATGTGTGCTTAGAGGTCCCTCTGCTGGGAATTAGTAGAAGTAACTATGGGAGAAAACCAATAAACACTGTCTTTACCAGTGGTTTTCACTCTTTAGCAATGTGCTTGTGGTAAGTACAGGGAGCGACAGCTCATTTCCTACAGGTGCAGAGTTCTTTCTTGATGTATTCACAGAAAGCAGTTTTATATTCACCTTAAACCAAAGTTTCTTTTACAATGGTTGACAGCATCTTTGACTGATGGAGAACTTGTCTAATATCATAGTATTTAATCTCAGTGGACTAAATGAGATACGGTCTCATAAATATGTCTTTTTTGCTTTTACACTTCTCTTTTACCTGTTGATCACATTTTTGAATCTGACACTAACTGCTACAATCCTCCTGGAGAAATCCCTCCATGAGCCCATGTACATCTTCATCGGTAACTTGAGTGTCAACACCCTGTACGGAACTGCTGGTTTCTATCCTAAACTCCTGGCTGACTTTCTGTCTGATACCCATGTCATCTCATTTGCTGGATGTTTGATTCAAGTCTTTGTGATCTACTCTTCTGTTATGTGTGAATACACCATTTTAACAGTGATGGCCTATGACAGGTATGTGGCAATATGCAAACCCTTAGACTACCATTCTATCATGAATAATGTGACTGCTCAGAAATTTGTTTTGTTTTTGTGGATTCTTACATTCTTTGAAGCAACAGTTACTATTTTGTTAACTCTCAGACTGCCTTTTTGTGGGTCTCAGATTGACAAACTGTACTGTGAAAACTGGTCAGTGGTAAAGCTGTCTTGTGTGGACACAACTCTCAACAATGTTGGTAGTTACATCATAGTGATTTCTTGTATTTCACAAGCCATTTTCATTGTATGTTCTTACATCCAGATTATCAAAGTGTGTGTAAAGTCTGGGGAAGGTAGGAGAAAGTTTATGCAGACTTGTTTGCCTCATTTGATCACATTAATCAACTTCACTTTCACCTCGATTTCTGATGTGATGTTTTCTAGATATGGTTCTAGAAACACACCACAGACTCTTCGTAATATCTTGGCAGTGGAATATCTAGTCATTCCTCCTCTTCTAAATCCCCTCATATACGGCCTGAATCTCTCTAAAATTTATTTAAGGGTTCGGAGACTTTTTAAAATGGAATCTTGGACATAGCTGACATCAAAGTGCAGAAATATTCAAAATGACAAAAAAAATCATGTGTATCTTCCAAATATTAATAACATCTATTTCCTATAGTTAGACATTTTATGACGGACATTAATATGCACTCCAAAACAAATGCTGGATGTTTTACACATATTATAATCTGGATCCATAAAAAATAGGGTTATAATTGTACCATATACAGTATGAATTTTGTTAATTTAATTTATGCATTGTTATGTCATTTGAAAAATTCTGCTGTGGCTGTGGAAAATATAAAAATGTTTTACTTAAATTTTATTCTACTGGACTGTAAAATGAAGCAGAAAAATTAAAGGTCATGTTTTAAAAAATATTTTATTTTTTCTGATGTCTTTCTGGGGAAAAGTATTTTATTTCCTGCAAAAGGATGCAGACAGAAAGCATATTCTGTAATCACTGGACAAAAATGATACCCCCTGGGTAATCTTGTTATGACCAGTGGGGCCATGCATCTGTCTCTTTTGATGATGGATATAAATTTGAAGGTGATACAGATTTATTTTTCACCGTTGCATGCTGTGGAAGGTTAGCAGCACAGTAGTCAATTCTAGTTATAACGTTAGTAATTACTAATTCCTTAT